CAACCCAGGCCAGTCTATGATTCTATGAAAAGTTGTCCTTAAGTGCTGCTTAAGTAATGAACTGGAAAGAAATATTCTGTCCTTTTTGTCTGACAAGACTATTTTTCTGTCAGTCTTCAGAAAAATTTGATTCGTGTTTCATTGACAAATTCATGTGTTCATAACAACTAGCAGCTGTAAATTGATTTTTGTGATGTTTCTAGTTGTTCCTTTAATTCAAAAGGTTGAAAAGCTTATTTCTTTGTGTAAATTATTTTGTGAGGCTAATTTTTCCACCTCTTTCTTTAAAGACCAGCCAAAAATGTTAATGTGCATGTCTCAAATTGTGGTGATGGCTCTCACCACGTGACCTGCAGACGTGCTTTCATGAAAACTTGTTGGTGTTTATCACTACTAGTTAGTAGTGGTATAACTGTTAGCTTTTCCAGGAAAAGCAGGGGCAAATATTTAGTATTAATACTTTGTCTTTAATTTTATATTGAGAGTAATTGTAGAATGTTTTATTATGCAATAACTAATCCACTTGGTAATTTTGGGGTTTTGAAGTATGGCTTTACTTTTATTGCAAGCCCACTGCTACTGCCACTGCATTGGTCAGAATCAGTTAGTAGCAAGAAAACTACTGATATCCTATAACTTGTGTTCTGCGCATTCCCATTGCATAATAAATCTAGAACCTTACATGATCAAAACTTGATAATTTAATTTTATCTCCGTATAAATCTGTTAACCTGTTCAGGATAAGAAGGCATTTTAATTGCCCATCCAAAAAAACGTAGAAAACTATTTCTGAGGCCGAAAGTCAAGAAATCAAATGTTTACCTCACAATGTATAATAAGTCACAGTAATATAATAAAAAGTTACTGTTTCTCGGGTGTGTCTCTTCTTACTAGGAAGCTTTAATCCACTGCGTATAGACTATCTACATAGGTTGATTAGCAGAAAACATTTATATGTTCTTATCTTCAGTGAGAAGTAAAATGGCAGATGGCCAAATACAAAATTTCCATCTTCAGGACTCTGGTCAGCACTGAGGACTTGCTCTCCAGCCTCCTCTCTCCTCTTTCATTTTCCTAACACATTTCTCTCCTGGGGCTGCTTATCACAGTCAGCTCTGCTTCCTGCACAGGTTCAGGTTTGTTCTTTTTGCACTCAGATTGAGCAAATTCTTCCTCCATGCTTGGGTGATCTAATGGTTGATTCCTTTAGAGTACAGGAAAAAAATGCTCCTTGCTTGCACGGCTGGTACCTGAGCAGGCTCAAGCTTTGTGTTTGCAGGGATGTGCCTGCTCAGCTTGGAGTTTGTGAAGATCCAGAGAAGGTACAGTCAGCGTATAGGTACATTTCAAAATGAGGCAGTTAGTAGCTTAAAAGCCTAAATCTGCTGACCGTGTCTGGACTGTGAATTTTCAAAGCCTGGTAAGTTGGAAAAAAGTTATGGTTTTGCAGAGTTGGCAGCCCTTCAAGCAGAAGTTCCATCTTGCTGTCTTTCAAGTCCCTGACCCAGGACTTTCAAAGGAGAAAATTTTACCTGATGAACTGCCAACCCATGCAATACGAGATGGAAAAAAGCAATGAGCCTATAGCTGTAATTTGACAAAGTAACAAGCTCTGGGTTCTACAATGGGAAGATTAGGACAGTGTCTGTGTGAGCAGTCCTTCTTACTCTTAATGTGTCAAAAGCCTGTGATTTATTATTTCAATGTTACAGGTTCATGAAAGCTTTAAGTTATGCTTCGTTAGATAAAGAAGATTTGTTAAGTCCTATTAACCAAAACACACTTCAGCGTTCCTCTTCTGTTCGCTCCATGGTTTCTAATGCTACATATGGTAGCTCTGATGATTACATTGGCCTTGCTCTCCCTGTGGATATCAATGAAATATTTCAGGTATGTATGTGATAATTTATTAGATTTGTTTGCATTTTCATACTGAAGGGTAGTCAACTGTTGCATTTGCATCAGAATAGATTAGATCTAGAGAAATGAGGAAAAACAGATGTGGTACGTTCAAGGAATGCATTTTGGAGAACAAGAGTTTCTGGTCTAACCCTGTTTACAAAAAATTGCTAGTCTATTTTGTATTAGGCAAATAATGACACAGACTAGGTTAGGAGAGTGTTAAACACTGGTAGCATAAATATGTGTCATAATATAGCTTTTATGTTGAAATTCGCATAATCTGTGGACATTTGGTAATACCTGTTTATGCAGCTAATTGATATGTTCACTGGCTAACCATAAATGATGCCCACGATTGCACAGTTAACTTCCTGCTACCACAGTCCTGAGATATATTACTGTGTTTGTATCTATATCCTTATAGCATTAAATTATAATGTCTTTACTTAACCTTGGAGCTAAATATATATAAATTAAACCATATTATTTTAAGTGTTTTATCAATGACCTGCCTCTTTCTACTTGGTTAAAACACATTCCCATCTAACAAACTGATCCATCATAGAGTTTAATATTCTGTTACTTAATTATCAAAAACAGGCCATGGCCTATATCAAAGGTAAGTCAGTCACTTTATCTTTAGTTTACTTAGCCTTTGCCTTTCAAACCTAACTTACTTTCTTAATAATCTCAAAAAATTAAAATAATCTCAAAAAGATTCTCCATCATACCTGCTTCTGTTCCCCCTTATGAAATTACTACTTTTTCTTTCTCCTTTCCAGTCTTTGTGGCGTATTTACATTGCCTCATTTCTTCTCTCTCAACTCTCTGTAAAATTCAGACACATCTTGACTCTACGATATCTTACAGGCAATATTTTAGATGTCCTGGGTGTTTTTGCACTGCTCTTTTGAGATCTCCAGTGGTGTAGAGTGATCATGGACAGATCATTAATAGCCACTTCTAGGTCACTGGTTTCCTTACGGCCTGTCACCACTGTTCTAACATTTGCTGACTGTTAAGCCTTGCTTAGTAAGTGTTCATTCACAAATGTATGTTTTTCTCATTGGCTTTTCTTTAGTTCTCAGGAGCCCATTCCCCATTCTTAATTTCCTCTTCTAATTAGATCTTTTTCCTGAAGTAAAAAAAGGGTCAGTATTTTATTTCCTCATAGAATCTGTTTTTCCTTTGTATATGATTGTCACCTGTGCTAATTGTAATTTTTACTTGAATATTCCAGGTAAAGGAGACTCCGTATTTCCAGAAGAAAACCACACCTCCATTTGATGACCGTGGAGCTAGGATCTTTGCACCTGACGCAGGAGGTACTGTTTTGTTCCTCTTCTGTACCTTTCTGTTTATTTGTACATTGGGTGGGGCAGGGTGTTGGTTTATTTGTTGATTTTTCTTTACAGAAAAGGTTATTTTTAGCTGTTAAGTTTTGAGCTGCGTTCCAGATTCAGGATAGCAGGCCATTAATTTCCTGTTTTATTTAGTTTGAAATAATGTGGTGTTGCTTCAGAGGAGTACAAGCTTGTTCCTGCCCTAATAAAGGAAGGAGGAAAGTCTACATATCTTTGATTATAATGTGAGCTAATGCTAATCAAAGACTGGTAGTGATACTGCATCATGGAAAGTAACAAAATTTAAGCTAAGATAAAATGTATGTGCCACATGTTGAGCTGTTACATTTTGACTGCCCTTTGATTAAACATGACTCTATAGGAACCAATAAGGTGTTAGGTGTGTATTTCAGAAAGTAAATTTTGTCTTTCTGAGATGTTTCCATGGTAGCTGGTCAGTGGAGGTGATGTGATGTGGTACGAGAGAATTGAAAGTGCTCTGTAATGCCTGGCTTGTTCTGGAAAGCACTTCCTTTTTACTCCACTGTAGTCAGAAATCTGTAAGGCATCAATACATGTCTTTTCAGTAGGACAAATGAAAAAGAAGCATTGAAACCGGTCCTAAAGTAGTATAGGATAGCTGTTGTCTTCCCTCCTAGTTAACTGGAACTTCATTAGAACTTTGAACATCCAAATAGACATACCTTGCTGATTTTTTTTTTCTTTTGTGTTGTTAATGTGATATATAAAGCTGATTTTCTTCAAAGTGTGTTTCTGTAGTTTGCTGAGTTTCAATGTAAAGTAACTCTTGTTCAAAATTGTATTTGTTGGTATTTGCCCCTGGGAAGAGCATGTCACTAAAGTGCCTTTGGCTTGTTTCTGCATTGTTGAGTCTACTTGCGTTCTATTACAGGTGCCAAGTTAACAGTTTGTTAAATTGTGTTTCTGTGTTCATTGGTGCATGTGTCGTTTAAACATTTGGTATATTGTTGTACTAATCTTGTTTGATACTATGAAAATTGGTAATGTATTAGTGTTACATGGGTATTACTGTTACTAATGTGGATATAGTGTCAGGATTTACCACTTACCTTCTTACTGTGTGTGCGTACAGTAGGTGCATTTAGAAGTTGAATTCTGTCCTTCATGATGTTTTCTGACATATAAGCCAGGACTAAAACGTGCAGTCTATTTTCTGAATGGTAACAAACTTGGGAGCTTAAAGTTTCTAAATCTTCACACCCCCTCCCCAGCTTTAAAAGGCTTAAAAGAGGAAATTAGTTGAAATAATGTTGGTTGCTTGGTTTGTTTCTTTCTGATATCTAACTGCTTATCCACAGGTCTTCAATCAGGTACAAGTGATGTTGTCAAAAGCCCTTTTCAGATGCTCCGACAGCAGATCAGTCTGACAGAAATAATGAATACCAGCCGTTCAGATGCCTCTCAGTTTTTGGAAAATACAGAGGATACAGGGCTACAGGAGCACACGGATGAGAACTGCCTGTACTGTGTCTGCATTCAGATACTGGGTTATCAGCCTAACAACAAAGTGAACTCTTCATATAGTCGTACAGGTTAGTGCTCCTTCTGGGGAAGTATGATAAAACTGAATGACAGTATTGAATTTTGTTCATTGATTAATCTGTAATGTTTTTTTTTCTTACTGACTATTGACCTTGAAATTAATTCTCCTTAATTAATTAATTCTCACTGTGCAACCAGGGGTATATCTATGGTCATTTCCATCTTTTCACTTTCTAGTGGTGTTAGTAGGACTAGGTGCTTGCATGGTTTTTTAAATGCTTCTAAGAGCATATCAAAATATAAAATTTGAAATCTTACTTAGCAATTAAAATCGATGTCCTGAAAACTGCTTCTTGCAGTCAAACTTAATGAAAAGTCTTAACGAAAAGGCTTCAAAGCAAGTTTATACCGTAAAGCAAAACAAGGGAAATCTCATGAAGTTCAACAAGACCAAGTGCAAGATCCTGCATATGGGTGGGGGCAAACCCAAGAACAAATACAGTCTGGGAGGAAAATGGATTGAGAGCAGCCCTGAAGAGAAGGGCTTGGGGTTGTTGGTTGATCAGAAGTTTAACATGACCCGGCAGTGTGTGCTTGCATCCCAGAAAGCCAATCGTGTCCTGGGCTGCATCAAAAGAAGCATTAGCAGCAGGTTGAGGGAGGTGATTCTCCCCCTTTACTCTGCCCTTGTGAGACCCCACCTGGAGTACTACATCCAGCTCTGGAGAACCCAACATAAGAAGGACATGGACCTGTTGGAGTGGGTCCAGAGGAGGGCCACAAAGACGAACAGAGTGCTGGAGCACCTCGTGCACAAGGACAGTCTGAGACAGTTGGGGTTGTTCAGCCTGGAGAAGAGAAGGCTCCAAGGAGACCTTGTAGCAGCCTTCCAGCACTTGAACTTCCAGCACTAGAGAAGAGGTGGGGAGAGGCACTCTTTATCAGGGAGTAGTGTTGAAATGAGGGGTAACAGTTTTAAGCTGAAAGATGGTAGGTTTAAATTGGGTAGTAGGAAGAAATTTTTTACAGTGAGGGTAGTGAGATGCTAGAACAGGTTGCCCAGAGATGCTGTGGATGCCCCATCCCTGGAGGTGTTCAAGGACAGGCTGGATGAGGCTTTGAGCAACATGGGCTACTGGAAGGCATCCCTGCCCATGACAGTGGGGTTGGAAGTAGGTCATCTTTAAGGTCCCTTCCAATGCAAACTATTCTGTGATTCTGTGAAATCTGAGGAGTGTGTTTAAGTTGAGCTGTAATTTCTGGGATTTAGTCATCTTTATTAATATTTTGTGATTTATATCAGATTCAGAAGTTACATGCCATTTTGCAATGTCTGTAATAAAAAGATAATTCAGTATATCCATGCTTAGTAGGAATCCTCACTGTTTTATAAGTGTTAACACATTCAGGTAGTAACACATAAGGAGCACTGTTGGCAAGGGGAATGATGTACAAAATGTGAGGAATGGCCCAAAGAACTGAGTTTGAGTTTGCCATCCTTTCTCAATACTGAACTCAAAAAAAAATCCCAGCTGTAGTCTTCAAATAGGATAAGGGGTTTACAGGTGCGGCATAGCCAGGCTCTTGTCAGAGGCACAGAGCCAAAGGACAGGAGGCCATAAACACATGCTGTAGGAATAGAAATTCAGTTGAACATAAGGGGAAAATCTTCACTGTGCAACCTAATCTCATTTTGACGTGAGCCCTTCTTTGAGCGAGGGGTTGAACTAGGTGATCTCCAGGAGTCCCTTCAGACCTGTGTTTTTCTGTGGTTCAGAACAAAGCTTGGATTTTATATTAATATCTTTAAATCCAAAAGTGTGAAGACTGTGGACAATGAAGCTTCCCAGAAGAATCTTTCTTGTCACATCTTTCTGTTGATGAAGTCAGAGCCCTTTTTTGCAATGCCTGTGATAATTGCACGAATAGAAAAACTGTGCCTATGCAAGAGCATCATTACTATGTTACGTAAAATAGAGCACAGATAGATAAGTAAGAGCTCTATGTGTCATAACAGTTTTTTGGCTTCCTCTTGTATGCTTACCATTGTTGAAACGTAAGAAAAGCATACGAAGGGTGGAAAAGTGTAAATAACAAAGATGTCACATCTTGTTTGACAGATTTTTCAGACATTCCATATACTGACTGGTGTGGGCAGACCATACACAATCACTTAGATGTGCATTCCTCCAAATTTTCTGGAATTTCAGGCTGTAGTGATGCAGTATCCCATGGCTCAGCTAGCAGCACCAAGAGTACAGAGCTTGTACTAGGTAAGTTTGAAAGCCTTATGATTATTAGAGACTATAACTCTTAAAATATATGTTACGTGTTGTGGAAAAATAGTATTCCATTTATACATACTGCAACAAAATAATGTTCATTATGTAAAAAACAAACAAAAACCAAAACAGCAACAAAAGAACAAGAATAAAAACAACTCTTCTCTTGCTATACTGGACTTCTGCAGGTTATTAAATACCTCTGTATCTGACCTTATAAGCAAATTGACTACCTTTTTTTCCACACTGGTGTTAGTTTAAAAAAAAAAAATATGTATTTTAGAAACACTACTGAATTTTTCTAAGAGACAGACATTTCTTTTTTAGGCTTGTGTTTTACATTTGAATTGTCATAATTTCTTACAAAGTAGCTGGCTGCAAACTTCTCCAGCATCTGATAGAGCAGGTAATCACTCGCCCAGTCTGCAACATGATTTAGTGGTAGAGAGAGCACTGTAATTGAATCTTAAAGGTTTTTCCATTTATGAAATGGTACTTTACCTTTTAAAATATTTCTATGTTAAAATTCCTGAAAATAGGGTGTTTTTAAGTTTTAATTTCAATGGAAATATTTGTTGGTAGTTCAGAATACATGCATAAATATATGTGTGTGTATATAGAATGCTAAAACAGATTTATGAAGCATCAGATCAGCACAAAGACTATTCTATTTAAACTCCATACTGTTAAATTTGTTTTTTCCAGGAGTAAAATCAATCCCAGACGATACACCAGTGTGCAGAATACTTCTGCGGAAAGAAGTCTTACGTTTAGTAATCAATTTGAGTAGTTCAGTAGGAACTAAGGGCCATGAAACTGGACTCCTGACGTAAGTTGAATAAATTTCACATGTTTAGCAACATTTAGTTGTATGCATTTTCTAAGGTCTCTGGGATAGTGATTAACTTCTGACTTCCCAAAAAATTGTCAAGGAGATATGATTGTGGGTTACTGGGAATGATTGAATGTAATGTAAAAGCCAAGCAAAGAATTTTCCTTTTAATATTTTTGCTCTGTCTTTAATTTCTTACTGTTCCCCAGTTTTTTTAACTGTAGTGAGATTTCATTACACACCCAGTATATAATGCATCTTTAAAAAAGAAACGATAATTCTTTTTTCGTTATGTATGTAACAATAATAGATATCAGATAAGCAAAATAACAAACTGGAAGTAACTTGAGAAACACAAACCTGCTTTAAGCAAGAGTACAACTACTGGAATTAATTTATAGGAAAAATCGGGCTAAAATATACCATTTGATTCCTGGTTTTATATTCCTATAAAAAACCCTGTAGGTTTCTGGGCTAGTGACATTGGAAACCGATATACATACATACAGTTGCTAAGAGAAAATGCAGACATGCTCATTATAGTTTTAAAAATGCTTACAGGTAATTAAGTTAGCTTTTCCATATTTTTTATTACTGCTGTACTTATGGATGCCAATCTGTGATATACTGTTCTCTTTCTATATCTATTATTTTAAGTTCTGTTTCATGTCATTAATATAGATTCTTTCCAGTTTGGTACAAAATAATGCTGCCTGTTCTGATTTTCTTGCTTCATTAGATCTAGCATTTAAAATGCCTATTACTGAAGAGTTCTACCTTGTTAATGATGACAATCAAAATCTAATTGAACAGGTTTCTAAAGTGTGATGGAACTCTGTTCAAGACTTTAAAAATGTTGGTTTTTCTGTTTTTCAGAATTAAGGAGAAGTATCCCCAAGCATTTGATGACATATGCCTTTACTCTGAGGTATCCTACTTGTTAGCGCATTGTACATTTCGACTTCCATCTCGAAGGTTCATTCAGGAGCTATTTCAAGATGTACAGTTCTTACAAGTAAGTGGAGGGTTCAGATGCATTGAATGCACCAAAATGTGCCAGCTGGGTGCAGGTTTCATGTTCTTACTAACAGAAACCATTTTCTGGGGTCTCTCTAGTAGAATCTCTTAACAACATTAATACTTCATCTGGCTTTTTCTTTTAGATGCATGAAGAAGCAGAGGCTATTTTAGCAACACCAACAAAACAGCCAGCAATTGATATATCAGCTGAATCCTGACCTCTGTCTCATGCACTGCATTGCATATAGACTTTCTGAAACCCTCAGACAACCTCCAACTGACTGGATAAAAAGCTTGGAGCAACATCTTCTAGACTGTTCCAGAAGCTACTGGTACCTGAAGACTGAACTGAAAACTTCTTCCTCAACCAATTACTGCCCCAGTCTTTTGAGCCTTTTGGGGAGTTATTAAACATTACCATAGTTTTAATAATAGTAATTACCAGTATATGCAAGAGCCAAGCACTGAACACAAGTTTTCATTTCATTTTCTACCATAAATTAAAAACAATAGGACAACATGCAGAGACATCTGTTTTTTGACTGACTTCCGATTCTGTTCCAGAGAAGCAGAATGATGCCTTGCTTTTAACCCGTGAATACCAGGAATCGGAGAGATGAGGGTGCATTCCATTGCCAGCAATGGGGAGCCGTGCTGTAATTGTGGGCACCAGGGGATTAATGTTAGCCCTTCTCTGTTGGTTTTTGTACTGTTTATAACACTACTTGGGGGTTTGTAACTTCAGATAGAAAGAAAAGCCTCTGTGAATCTGAGGTTTCCTTTAAGTTATTTTAATATTGCTGTAGTTCAAAGTCATTTTATTAGCAGTCTCTCCAGATTCATTACATTTACGTACATTTATCTTACCTGAACCAGTTAAGGATTTTCACTACAGTTTGATTTTAAAAATAACAAATCATTTAAACTTAAAATGTTGAAATCTGATTGTTCTCCCTGAATGACATGCATGTATTTGCAGTTCTACACTCATGCTCATATAGTACGAATGTTGGTCTTACTCTTAACTAAAATCCTTTAAAAAGCATGATTTGTATCAGATAAATGAATAGTGTATAAACTAAACTTGAAGGCATTTAATCATTGCTGCTTTTGTGAGAAGACATAATATGAGTGTTTTTCAAGTTCCATGGAAACAGCATTTTATAAAAACAAAGGTTTATTTGAATTTTCAATAGATGAGTGATCAAGCATCAGATAGTACTAATAATTGTAGTGAAAAGCCTTAAGTACTAAATTTTGGAGCAGCAGTACTTAAAATTTTATATTGGTATTCAAGACTTGTTGCAAAAGTTAAGTGTTACTAGTGAGATTTCTAAATTAATGAGTACAAGCTTAAAAAAAAGTAAGAATCCCTATCACTTTTATCATGGATCTAAAGATTCAGAAGCCTTTACGTGAAGGTAATACAAATATATGCAAATGTGTATATACAGTAGCATGGCCACCTTTGTTAGAATGCTTGTAATAGCAGGGATTACCCTTTGATTTTGATATAGGTGAATAATTCAGCTGGACTGTACTAAGTAGAACGTATTTTTATCCATTCACTTTTGCCATTTTTTGTAATTGTCAGATTAATACTTAAATGAAGATAAGTGAAATTTATCCTGATGCTCATAACTCTGTTCTTACTAGCTATGCTACTGGAGATATTTAAATAAGTAGTCCTGTGAGCAGTAAGGCACAATTCCTAGTGAAATGTAGAATTTTTTTGCTCTTATTGGAAATTTCATCTTGCCACATAAGCACTGCTTTGCAGCTGTCACTTCACTGAGTACTTATGTGCACTGCATACCATCAGATTCTGGGAAAGCAGATTGTAAGTTGCTGCTCTTAGTCAAATTTAGTTCCTAAGATCATCGTTTCATGAGTTCCCACTGAAAGAAGGAGCAAAAAGAAACCGATTCAATTCTTCTATGGTCAGTGACCCAAATAACGTATCTGTGTGTCAAGGCATGTTTGAAATGCTCTGAAAACATACCAGACCAGTAGCTATTGGACTTCTCTGGTCATCAGAAATAAATGCTTCTGTAAAACCAAAATGTCAATCACAGTAGACCAAATAGTGGTATAAACTCCAAAGGAAATAATGTAGTTCTCCCAAAAATGGGGCTAGCATATCTTATACAGTAGTTTCAAACACTACCTCAGTTAGGCTAGAGTATAAGAGATTTGTTTTAATAGCTAGATGGAGTTACATCAAATAACTCTGTTATTTTTCTGCAGTTAAAGCAAAATAAACAAGTTTTATCACCTGTATTTAAAAAAGCCACCTTTGTTCACTTGTTACCAGTTTAACCCATAGCACTTCATGTAGAAAGCACCATAGGAAGGCCTCTGATTATAAAAAGGTAACCAAAAGTGATGTCAATGTACTTTTGAAAGAATCTCCATCTTCAAATGCTTATGTGTTCTGAAGTACTCGCTTGTGTGGGGATCCACGACAACAGAAACTTGATGTGCAAATTATGGCTGCAAATTCAGCTATAAAACATGTTGGTTTTTTCTGAAAGTGTATGAGTGTCAGTAGATTTCAACAAGTATGCATCAAGGATGTAAAGTCTGTACTGTACAAAAGATACAACATTTCTAGAATTAATTTACCTATTTACATTCAGCTCGTATTAATGTTTCATTTTAATTGGCAAAGGAAGGGATACTGTTATTGATGGAGTTTGATATTGGCCTAGTTATAAACTGTGAATTTCTAATTCTATTGATTTATTTTTTTAAAATATCCCTTTCAGAGTTCTTACTTTGGGGATTTATTTGCTTCATGAGAAAACTTCAAAATAAAGCAGTAATAAATAAGAATTGTACTTATATTAACCCTAATAAAGAATCCTTCCACTTCTCCTGGAAAGGCTGCAAGGGAAGCTGACAGACCACCTGCTTTCTATTTTTCTAATCCAAAATATTGGTGATACTGTTGAATACATAGTAAAGCATATAGTGTTCACTTACACTGCATACAAATACAGTTTGGTTGCTGTGGCAAAGAAAACAATTCAACATGCTAACACAGAATACTCAGCTCCGAGGTGGGAGTCTTTGTGGGAAGGAGAGGCTGGCTGCAAAACCAATCACATTTAGTCCACTACAGTAGCTGGCTAATTTTCTTAGTCTCCTTTTACAGTCGGTGGACGGGGCAGAGAGCTAACTAAAGGGCTTTCAGTTACTTCCCAGAGGGCCTGTTTCTCTCCGCAGAGTGGGGAGGAGGACAAAGCTGCGTGCTGCCAGGGTCCTTTTGGAGAGAGACACCTTTTCAGCTGTCTGAAATTTGGAGATGCTGAATTGGAGCTGGAGATGGTCAGGCTTTGAGGTACCTAACTTGGATGCTGGGCCCTTGGCATGTTGTATTTGAAACAGTCACTTTTCTTCATCTGGCAGTTCTTACTTGACCCGACATACGTACCCTAAATGTGCTGTCATTGTCTTCTGTGGTTTGTTGTTTGTTTTTTTTCCCCAAGACACAATGAAGTGCTGAAGTATTCAGTAGTTGAGGGTGCAGTGGCTTGGCACACTGAGGTAAGCTGCCCTTATAAACATTTAAAAAGGCAACAGTGAGAATCCTGCTCCTGTTTCTGTCATTACATTTTGAAACATATGTAGTGGTCTTGAACAAGGGTAGTAATTTAGCAAGAGACTGAAAAGAACTGACAGCACCTTTACTAGGTGCCTGAAGAGAAAGGAAGCCATGTGAGAAGTAGGCACTAAGCAGAGCCTAGTGAGAGATGAGAGCTGTTGCTGCTTCTTGGTCTGTGGCCTGGACTTGGTATTTGGCTTTTTTTTTGTGAGTGAACATGAGCTCAGGCTCCCCAGTTGCCGTGGAATAATCCTTGCCAGGCTCCAGAGCATCTCTGACATTTCTGCTCGCCTCCCAGCAGGGTTGCGCAGGTGTCCTGTTACTTAGAGACAGTTGAAAGCGGGTCCCATAACTTTTTTTTTAAGTTAGTATACAAAGTGAGAGTAAAATCTGAGAACAGTGTAAAAAAACTTTGGGAACATGCTAGGAACCATGTTTGTATTGAGCTAGAACCCCATTACCCCAGCCCCCTCCACCCCTGCCCAGCCTTGGTTTTTGTTTTAACTCTTCTGGTTCCCTGGATAGTTTTGGGTTTGCAGATTTGTTATGTTCAGTAAACAATGTGGATTTTTTTTTACAACCTTTGTAGCCTAGATGGATAGCAATGCCACAGCATGCAGAAATTGCACATTTTTCTTGAGTTGCTTTGTAAAATACACTATATTATTTCAGAAATGTAATTTATGCCAAAACTGTTAACATGCCATTTGCCATTGAATACTGAATAGGGTGTTTTAGCACAAGATACAATGTCTAAGGGGGGGAAGAGGCAGACATTTGTAGACTTAATTGAAAAATGTTCCAATACTGGGCTGTCAGCATCCCTAAAACTGCATTACAAGAGATTATCTAAATAATTCTGAGGAGGGAAGGGATCAAGGAAAATCACAAGACTTACTCTCCCTGTCCTGAGTGGGGTTTTTTTATTTAGTAATACGCTGCTACATCTTTGGAGGTTCTAGTGTTTGTAGGTCACTGAACAGACATTGAAATCTGATTTATATTGTATACCTGTAACATAGAAAGAAAAAGTATTTATATATTTTCCGTAAGAATATTGCATTGAGCTGTGTATAATTTAGAGAGGCTTGTCCCAAAATGGTATTGCCCACCTTGATTTTTTTGTGTTTTTCTTTTTTTTTTTGTATAGTGTGTACAGTTCATGTCAATGGGCATTAAAAGCCTCCTGAAGTGTAATCTTATCAAAGGGATGCATTGTTAATAAAATGTACTTAAAATTCTTATAGTTGTTCTGGCCTCATATGTATCTCTCAGCACTAGAAATGGGTTGGAATTTTATTTATATTTGTAAGTTATTAACTAGAACAACCTGAAATTTTCCAAATAAATTTTTTTGTCAAAAATATATTTTACATTAATGCTTTATAAGATGTCTTATAAAAACAGAAGGGGACTCTTTAACAGTTGTCACACCATTTTTATTTTAAAAGTTTAGCATACTGAGAATTAAAACATCACATAATGGAAAATTATTAAGTATTACCATTTCAACAACAGCTGTGAAAGTTGAATTATAAACAAGAGACAGAAGTTTTCAGTTTTGAACTCATTCAACCATTAATGCAAGACAGATGTCTTAAATATAAAAGTTACACATGCAAAAATACTTTACTAATCTTTATTTCTAGTTCTAGTGCCCAGATTGTACCCTTTGACAGGCACCAAAGCGTTACCCTCCTCGGAATCCTCAGTTTGTGTGCTTTTAAGCACGTGTGGTTTCATGAAACACCGCCCATCAGGGCCAGCAAGCAGAAAGGTTCATCGATGGGGAGGAGCTAACTTCTCATCACCTCGCCAAGGATCTGGTCTATGGTAAAGTATTTCCTTGAGATGATAATGAAGTTTCATCACTGCAGTGTCTCCCCAGAAAAGACCAAGGGAGCTGAGCTGAGCTCTCACCAAGCCTGTGTGTCCCACCCCACCACCAGGAAGACATGACAGGGGACAGGCCACATCACCTCTACCCCCACCCTGCCCCAGCTCACTCCCTGGGTGGAATGACTACAGACAAGCCCCCAGTGACAACAGGAATTTGCCTGTTTTTTTGGTTTTTTTTTTCAGCCATCCCCTCTGGCATGAGGAACTGCAGTATATTGAAATTTAAAATGTTTCATGAAATAATCTGACTTTTCTGACTGACTTCTGTATTGGGATTCCTTAGACACGTAACTCTTGATTTATGATAACTTTCAAACTTTTTTAAATAAACAGGCTTTTTTTTTTTTTTTAAATGCACAGACAGGAAGTTTTAATTCGGTAGTGGCAAACCAGGTCCCAAACTGTAAAAAACATTTCATTATTTCCCTTTTGAGAACTGCTTATTCTGTGCTCAAAGTTGGACTATTTGTAAAAGATTCCAGACAGCATCATAGTTAGGCAACACGAAAGAGGTCCTGGCACTACGGAGGTTCATCTGGTGAGAATTTCAGATACAATTGCAACTATTCTGCTTCATGTACCGTTTTTTAAAATCAAAATGGAGGACCAAATTCACTGCTGCCTACTGTAGGGATTTTGAGTGTTACCATGATCTTTTTTTTTTTTTTTTAATGCATGCAAAGTGTTGGAAGATCTAGCTGATACACAGCCTGACTCTGCTGTTCTTCACCTGCAGGATTCATAGACGTGTGCATCTGAGTACCCTGTCTGCTCACCTGCTAGTTCGGGGTTAATGCCAAAAGAGGTTAAGGTCATGTGCACAAGCAGAGACAGGGCTGCGGGAACAGCTGTCCTGCTGTAAAAACCCCTCCTTCCCACTTAACTTCCCCCATTTCCTTGTTTTGTTAAGAGGATTTTGTTTAGGATTTTAAAGGGTCATTCTTCCAGGCAGCAAAGGCAGAAGTGTGAGGAGCCCCAGTTACCAGAAATGGGAGCAGCAGCCCACTGACAGGAGCCCATACCATAGACCATCGTTTTCTGCAGTCTTTCACCCACAGTGTGTAGCTAGAAGCCAGGTGAAGTAAAAGGGTCTTGGTGCACAGCGTGGCACTCCTCAAGTCAAAATTCCTTCTAATCTTCCAGTTCTGTACCACACTGAACGCTGGTAACCATCCTCTATTGATTCCCTGCATCATTTGAGAGTGAGAAAACAGAAGCCACCTGCTCACCTTCCCCCCTGCCCCGATGTTAAGGGCTGAGACAGACCCCCAAACTGGGTCGCGCTCCGTGCACAGCTGCACACTAATCCCTGGCCTAGGGTTGGCCAGAGCACGCAGTAAGTGCACACACAATACTGCATGTGAAATACACTCCTTGAGCACAACCACCTACCTGCTTGTTTAACTTGCTCCTCTACTTTCTGAATAAATTTTTAATCTCTGTAAAATACAGTTAGCAGCTCTTTGCATCAGGCAGTGAGAAGCTGCTGTGAGCTAACCTTCTGCATAACACAGGCCACACAACAGTCTACAAATCCTATATAATGTCCATAACTTGTGATGAAACTGTAGCACGCATCATTCCTGTGCACAAGTCAGTATTTTTAAACTAGTCCTGAAGCAAGAGCTTTGCAGTGTTAACAGAAGTGGGGCAGTTGGGCTTGTGAAAGCCTTCATCAAAAGGAGAACCTGTGGTTTTAGAAATTCTTATTTATATTGTGTGACCCAAACACAGGATGGACTCAATGGAAGAGAGTACATCAAAGCCTTCTCCCTAGGCAGTGCACAGCTGTTTGTGAAATATATCTCAGGCTGGTCTTTCTGCCAGCTGTTTCTCTGGGTGTTGAGGCAGCACCTTCATTAAAAAGATCGAAGTAGTAGTGTGGCTGGTACAGCGCTACTGACAGTTCTGGCTTGCTTGCTTCTAGTGGCGTCAGTATTTCATAGGGATCAGATTCGGCTGCAAGATGAGAAGAATAAGCAAAATTTTCAAACCAGGTATGAGTCTGAGGTGTAGGTGTGGGTGTAAAGTCTTTCTCTTCATTTTTATTAGGGTAAACCCAGGAAGAACTGTGACCATCAATCTTCTCTTCTGTTGGCATTGAAGACAACTGGCTCCACGGCTGTAACTTCTGGGCTTCGGCCTTATTGTCGAGTGCTAGCGTGTCAGGAATGCAGTCACTTATTTTCAATACTTTCTCAGAACCGATCTACGAGAGAATCATAAAACAAATACTCAAAGAAAGCCTGGAGTAAAGGAAAAGTAGTGGTTACTTCAAGCACTTCTAATCATGTCTTATAATTTTTTTAATTCATATTTTTCATAGAAATGCACAGACTTTGAAGGAAAACATACGTATGTCCAATGAAAGCTGTCTTTTATGTGGATTTTATCAGAGTATTAGAGATTTCTTTTCAAAGTAAGTTCAGTGTGACCACATTTGAAGAAGGAACCACGTCCTTCTACTTTCAAGTCTTTTGCCAGGTTTCTGATGTGTGCAGTTCTTAGTCTGAGCCATTAGCAACTGGAAGGCAGCAGCAGGGACTGTTAGGCTGTACACAACCCTCCCTCTGGTGCTGGTGTTCAGTGAAAAACAGCAAAAACGGCAGCAGCCCCACCTGTGCCAGGGTGAAAACAAGCTCCTCCTTTTGCAACCCCCTTGCCTGCAGCAGCTCCCAGTTCGAAGGGCCTACAGGAGAAGCTGAAGGGCTTTTGCCAATCCTTTCTTCCTGGCCAGAGAGGGCAGTGCCTGGCAGAACCCCCTGCATCCTCCGAAGGGCCAGTAACTGCATCACCCTACTCTGACACCCTACAGCAGAGGGGCGTGTGGGGCAGGAGAAGTGGGTTCACAGCACAGTGCAGTATCCTCTGGTCTGTTGTGTTCAGACCGTGATGGGTTTTGAACAGTAACACTGGAAGAATCACCTACTGTATCAAAGAATTCCATTTCTTCTCCAATTATGATTTCACTTTTTGCAGTAACAGACTTCAGAATATAAACTTATCGCTGGAGAGTCACATGAATATCCAAATGAGAATTTTCCACTAAATTATGACATTAAATTACATTAATTTCTGTATAATGAGTGTCACTCATTTTTACACGTAGTCAACACAAGAAAAAAACTTTTTTCTGAAACTTCCCTAATCAAATAATGTAAAAAAAATATAAATACTAACTTTTCAGTAATCTTACCTTAAATTCTTTGAATGACAGCACTGTGCTTTTGTTAGGACTGGGTATTACAGGACAGCAACACTCCTTCACCCTGGAAATCAGACAGGAAAGCAAATGCTGTTTTTGTTCTCTCATCAAAGCATATTCTACCAGCAGAAGCCACGTGTAGATGTGTGCAGAAACAGCAGCAGGTGAAGAGTGTCTCAGAAATGCCACAAGCCAAATACTTATAAAATCCACACAGTTGGACAGCCAAAGGAAAAAATGAACGAGGCCTTACAACAGGCTGGAAGCAACAAGCTGCAGCTGTGGTTTGTGAATTACGCTAGTTACGTTCTCTGTCTGCTACAGGGAAGTCCATTGTAACTTACCACTTCACTTTCCAGTGGCATATAGCTGCTACTAGTGATGGAACTATCACTAGCAGGACTAGAAGGTACAGCATGTTTGCTGTGGAAGAAAAATACTTTTAAAATTTGTTTTCAAGTTCACACCTGTTAATATAGCTTGAGTTTCTGGGACAAAAATAACATCAAGCCCACATGGGATACCTGCCACTAACTCAGCAGTAAAACTGTGTGGTCCATGGTTGCAAAATAGTTTGGCAAGCTCTGGGATACAGATGTAAGTCTTTGGACCTTGATTTCCTTTACCAAAGTTGAACTATTACCAGATTGCTTTTAATTTGCCCTCATGTTGGCATCTTAAGGGTAAATTCCCAAGACTTAAGACAATTATAACCTCACTTAACTATTTGTTTAGGTTTTCCCTCAGATCCTCAATGATGACAGATTTTTACCATGACACGTTGACAGAACATCTGTAACTCCAGTATGGATGGATGACAGCAAGACACTACACAAGTGTTCGTCCTCTCCTAGGATTTACGCTGACACAGGAATCTCAGTATTTCTTTCTAGTTGGAAGACATAGCCTTGCAGTATGCTTTTCCACAAACAGTTGAAGCTAAAATAAGCAGGCTGAGGGGGAGCACAAGTTAGTGCTCGGTCTCCCTCTTGCCCTGTGCCAGCAAGTTTGTGTGTTCCACACACCCCAGCAGGGAATGGACACATATCACATTCTCCCTTTATCCTTCTGTTAAGCCCCCATTTCGGTTCCCTTCATAGCTGTACAAATTTCTGTGCCTGCACAAGAGAAGGCTGGAGCATAGGAGCTGGAACAGGGGTGTAAGAGGCAGAACTGCCTCTGTGAGGGTGCCATGAAGGTCTAGACATTGCTCTGCCAGTTAGCCTAAAACATGGAGTCTCCTTGCATAAGCCAATGCTTCACCTTTTCCTACCGCTCCCCCTTCACCTCCACCCCAACAAATTTTTCAAAACCAGGCATCTCTGATTTGGATGGTGAATTACACAATGACAACTGCTGAGTGGTATTTTCAAGGCATCAGAACTACAGGCAACTGGCTTCCTGTTCAGCTTTGATGCTCAAATCTGCCCAGTTAGCAAACTACAATGCTCAAGCCAACACCCTTTCTTACTGACTTATGAAGGAGTTAACTTGGCAATGGATTTAAAGACTGATGAGAATATAATCAACACTAGGAAGTTCAAGAGTCCATACAGAAATTACCTGTTTGCACACAAGTCTATAGCTCTTCCCATATTAGAAAATTAGTTAAATTCAAATGCAATTTTTCAATGCATACTAGCAAACAGGCCTCACTAGTCATGCAAATGTGCACATATTAAGCTATTTCCCAGAAAGATGTAAGACTTAAATACGGATGTAGAATTACTTTCATTCTAAAAAAAACCACAGCTACTTTACAGTATCAAAATGCTATGTTGGTATGCACATTTTGTTTCTCAGTTACATCCTTTCCTAAGCGCAATATTACACTGAATTAAACATTTTCCCTTGAGAAAGGAAGATTATTCTAGCCTTTTAAATAATCCTATCCTTATGCTAGAAGACAAATTTTCCACAGCCAATACTCACAGTTATACGGTGTATCTATGTATATAAAGTTACCAATGGGAGTCTCTCCTCCTCCTGTATATGCTTTAACCACTAGTTTGTATTTTGTGTTTGACAATAGGTGGTTCACAGTGTATCTTTTTTCTTCCGGGTTTTCAATTGTGTATTTACATAGCACTGAGTCACCTAAAATGAAACAGATAAGACAGAATCATAGAATGGCTTAGGTTGGAAAGGACCTTAAAGATCATCAAGTTCCAACCCCCCTGCCATGGGCAGGGACACCTCCCACTAGACCAGGGTGCTCAAAGCCTCATCCAGCCTGGCCTCGAATGCCTCCAGGGATGGGGCATCCACAGCTTCTCTGGGAAACCTCTTCCAGTGCCTCACCACCCTCACAGTAAAGAATTTCTTCCTTGTATGGAATCTAAATCTGCCCTCTTTTAGTTTAAATCTGTTACCTCTGTCCTATCTCTACAGGACATGGTAAAAAGTCTCTTTCACTCTTTCATATAAGCACCCTTTAAGTACTGAAAGGTTGCAATAAGGTTTCCCAGAGTGTTACAAATCAGCTTAACTGAGACTGCTAGATCACTTAAATAACAGAACACTTGCAACCCACCTTCTTTGGAATTTGCACATTCTTCTTAGAAGGATGATGTATCCTGACTCATTGTCACTGGGCTGAACTCACATCCCTGCTAACTAACTGGACTGTCCACAGCATTGCCTATCCTCTGGCAGATCACCTAGTAACTTTCTGTCAAAAGCTGCAACTGGGTATTTTAATTTCCTTTTACTAGAACTTCTTAACAGAATGCATTCAGTTCTGACATTTCCTATTTGACAGATCAACTTGTCTTCAGACATCAACTTGTCTGAAGATAATCAAAAGCAAGAAATCTTTCTCTGGAAAACCTCTTTTGCCTCTCTATTGTGCAACTCCCAGGCCCCAGGGAGAAAACGGTTAGCTTATTTCTCTTCCCAGTCACACCCCTTGTCTGCTAGCTCAGACAAACTGAGAAGCAGAAAATCTTCTATTTAAACATTTTGAAGTCTAACTAGGATTACCTGCAGAATTACGGTACTTCTATGGTGTAAAGGACTATTCATGCAGTTTTGCAGAAACTGCAAATTGACTGTCCAGGCTCCGACTCCTGGTGTCTCGAAACATTCCAGTTGTAGATAAGGAGATGGCAAGGAATGCACCGAAGGCCTTACTCCCCTTACTAACAATGAACTCAATCCTCAAGGCTCTGATAAGGCGAAGCCTTATGATGTCTCAAAGCATTTCCAGTTGTAGATAAGAAGATAACGAAGAATATACCGAGGGCCTTACTCCCCTCACTAACAATGGACTAGCAAACCCCGGCTGAGTCTAACAATGGACTCAGTCTTGCTCTTGCAACGAAGTAACAAACCCTTGCTGAGTAAGGCCCTGCCTCAGTCTATAAAAGGTGAATAAACAGAGGGAATGGGCTGGTGCCCACCACCTGAGGACTCCTGAGATGCTGACAGACTGATCAAGCAGCCTCCCTCCCCCCTCCCCCCACACAGATGTCGATGCTCATCTCCAAGGATCCAAAGAGTGGTGAAAACTTTTCTCTCTCTTCTCTCCTTTTCCTTTCTTTTTCTCTTCAAGATCTTGATCTCTCTCTCTCTGGCACATATGGCAACACCTTAGAAGTTTTATGCCAGCTTCTTTTGGGGTTTGTTTAGCAGGTTTTCTGTAGGTTGTCTATTTTAGTACTGAAAGGTGATTGCAAGTGTTGTGAGCAGTTGCGGGTTAAGTGATTGCAAGTTTTTTGAGTGGCTGTGGGGTTTCTTAGTATTGTTGGAAGTCATGCTGTCGTTATCACATTGCTGTAAGATTTGGTGTTGTTGGCAGTCGGTAGTGTTGTCATGAATTGTCTTTACCAAGTAATTTGTTTTCTTTTATATTTCTGTTAAGTTTAATGCCAGCTCCTTTGGGGGGCTTGTTTAGTAGGTTTTCATGTAGATTGCTTATTTTTAGTGGTGCTTATTACTAACCCTAGTAATATTGGTAGTTATGCTATTCTTACCCCATTGCTAACAAGATTTAGTGTTATTAGTGGATGGTAAAATATTCCTGGATTGTCTTTACCAAGAAATTTTCCTTTTCCCTTGATTCTGTTGTATACCCCACATTTTCCCTTTTTCCCTAAACAATTATATGCATTAAAGTTATAAGCCAGTACTCAATTCTTTGGTGCCGTTTCACCTTAGTTTGCCCCAAGGGAATATATATATAGAACCTCCGCAAACCCCACTTGTCCCACCCAGGGTGGTTCTATGTGCTGGGTCGCAACATATGGTTAGTTTAGTTCTGACAGGAACTCCTACATAAGCCTCCTTCAGTTCAAACTAAGCTTTTCAGCCTGGTACTAGCCTAATCAGCAGAAGGAACTGACACAGGGCATGGCCCACTGGAAGAAGAGGTGAGGAAAAAAAAAATAAATCCTTGAACGTGTTGGAATCATCTGAAAACTATAATGGAGCAAAGTAATCTGGCGCAGTTTGGAGCGTGGAGCAAGAAGATCAGATATAAAAGTTTAAACGTGGCTTTGTGCCACCCCACAGCTCAGTTCTGCTGAAGGAACTCCACTACAGAGCACAGCCACAAATACCTTCACTATAAAATAATTTAAATGGAGAATTTACACATTGCTCCAATTCTGAAGGAAATAAATTGTATCTCATTGGTTTCCAAAATACATCGAATTCTAATAAAATTAACGTGCTTCCTATGACTCTCATCCAAGTAGACCACAAACAGATGTTTTCAAACTTTGTCCAGAACTCAGATCATAAAAGGCAGAAACTTGGCTCCTCCTACAGTACTGCAAGAATCCGTCCTGGAGCTCACACTGGAGCTAAAAAGAGCCACAAACAGGGCTATAAATCTGCATAAAGTCACAACCCACTTCTGCCCATTAGCACCTCAAGCATTAGAGAGGAATCAAAAGCAGCAGGTGTTGAAACCTATATATTGCCTAATGAGCCAATTTGCCTGCCTAATGTGAACTTTCTAAGTGGCTGCAGTATCAGCAACAGCTACAAAGTCTTTCCCCTTTATCAACACAGCTTCCTAATTCCGGAGCTCAGTTACCTGGAAGAACATGTTTTTTGGATCCTTTCAAACTGCAGTTCCCTTGTGTAGGTGACACATAAACATGGTAGCCTCTTACAAAACCAGACTGTGACTCATTTGTGGGATAAGAATCCCAAGACAGTGTCACTGCATTGAAAGTCAGTTCAACTTTTTCCACAATAGGGTCAAACAGAGGAGCTGGAAGAAAGGAAACTCAAGTTAAACTTGCCATTATTCTTCAAGAATGTTTATCTTCTCACTTGAAAAACGTCTAAATTCCCATGTGGTGTTCCTATCGTACTTGTATGTAAAAGCTGAACAAAGCCAAAGCACACCACAAAAACTGTCAGCTTCACACAGCGTTCACGCAGTCTGCATTATACACAAAGCAGTGACTGCTTATCACAACTTTGTTTAGCTATTCAAGACTCAGTCACTGTACTAGTCAAACACCCTCAGTGCAGGGCTGTGCAGGTTGTATGTTGTTGTACAACTTTTAAATGCTTCACTGATGATACAGAAACAACACAGCAAATAGATTTTTAGCTAGTTGCAGCTGTGGAATGCTTGTTTGTGGCAGATGAATTTATCAAATACACAAACCCTAAATATGTTGCCAACTTACGTAGCTCCCTGAGATAACCAGTCTTCTTCTCCAGTAAGGAGGCTCTATTAGCAACAGAGCCATAGATGTGGAAGTTGTATTTCACCCCCGGAACAAAAGCATCTGGAAAACAGTGGAACGGATTACAAAAACAGGTTGTGGTTTGTCTTATGGTTTTGTTTTTACTTTAACTGCTTTCTACAGAAATCTATAAACCACTAGAAATCTTCTTTGTGTGCTATTGTGCTATTAAAGCAACTGAAGGAGGTATAGGGTAAAGCGTGCATGTGAATTGAACACATTTATTCTGCCTGAAAGAGAGAATTGAGTGGGGGATTTAATATATTTTTGCTGCCCTAGAGTATTCAAGATGAACACACAAAAGACTTCAAATGCATCAAAGAGCAAAATAATTTCATTGCCGTTTCTGGCACAGGCAAAGGTCATGTTTTGGACTGTTCAATGTAGACACGTATCCATGCATCAGGATTCCACGTTATCCTCACTGACATCCACTCCCATTCAGATTAACCAAGTGCAACCTACTGAAGAACCCGACAACATTTTTTTCCACGTGTTACCACACTCTCCTTCAGTGAGGAGGCAGGCTGCCATGTGTTTGTATGAACTGAAGTGCCATTACTTTATTGCATATGGAAATGCATTCAGTCAAATTTTGTTCAAACATGTTTCATTCCAAAGTGAACTCACAGCTTGAAAGTCTCCAGGAAGGCTATATTCTTGCAGCTGTGGAAGGATATCAGAGCAACTTCCACACAGACAGAAAGGATTTAGGTCCAATGGCCACTATCAGCATAAAAACCATGCAACTGGTCCTAAGAAAGGACTGCTGCTGAGACACTATTTGCGGCACACTGACGGGACTAAACCTCTCACTACACAGTAGGTGTTAAATTGACTGCGTTTAAACTTCTGACCCGTATTACAGATAAGGCAGAGCTCCATTTTGTGTCCCTCCTACTAAAAGGTTTTTAACTCCTTAATTAACCTCACCATCCTCCTTCAAGATGTTACTACGAGCTACTCAGAGGAGATGTTTTTCTAAAATGCTATGCTTACTTCCAAGGCTTAGTGCTGCTGGCACATTTGTGGTGTCTAATTCATCTGCTAGGCAAAACATGATGCCACATGCCTTTGGAGAATTACACCCACACTGCACAGACTTCAATATTCCACAGAGTTTGTTTCCTAAATTCAGATAATGCCCACAGCACAACAGATTGCTGCACAGACATCAGAAAAAAAAAAAA